AGATAAGTACTCCAAAAGGAGCAGCAGTCTTGTACACAACCACGCCAGCGGTAGCTGATCGCGATGTGATCAATCTGAGTCCAGGCTTGAGATGCAGAAGGAGGACGCCAGGTGGCACATCGGCGATGACTGTGCCGAAAGATAGTGCTAGCCAGAAACAGGTTGTGGTTTGTGCGAAGTTGCAGTAGACGATCCCCTTTATCTGTCCTGCGACCAACAGGTCCCCATCGGTCACCTAAACGACTCTCTTCTGTGCCTAGACGCCCGACCTGAGCATTCAAGTCTTCGGCTAGTACTACAATATCTGTCGAACGCACTTTCTGGAGAAGAGCAGTTAACTGGTGGTAGAATGTTTTAATGTTTAATATGATAGAGACTTGATCGATAAACTTGGATATTGGTAGGGGATACGAGTTGACTTGAATTATATTCATGATTCTTGAAAATAACTACCACTTTCAGACCCGAAAGGGTCGTCGATCGAAATAGTAAAACTGTATTAGTTTTTGGTAGATTTATCTTATATACTTCAAGTGCGAGCAATAACTTCTGGATATGGACATGAAAACTGATTAAAAATAGTTTTGTTTCATTCGAAAAACAGATAAATAACTTAACCACGCATATGCGATTGACTGAATGGACTTTTACCACAACAGACATCTGATCCTAACTTAGGACACCGGCGTTCCTTTTTTTAATCCTACTTATTCATAGTGTACATTACTACAGTTTATCCGGAGATGAGAAATTTATAAAAGTTTACCGTTGTGCCATATTCTACACAAATAAGTATGGCTTGTAATTGGAACAAAGGAAAATACTAACCGCCAAACATGTGAGGATTGTGCTTTTGATAACAAACCCACGTACAGTATACGAAGAGTCATTGCGTGGTAAAATAAATAGCAAATTATGATATGCATCCTAAGATCAAAAAGCTTTGGAAAACATCAACATAAAGAATAAAAATAGTTGAATTTGAAACCTTATCGACCAAAACTTCGAGTACCACATAAACAAAGAGATCGTTTACTAAAGTGGAGGACTCACTGGAAGTGAACTGAGTGACGAAAGAGCCGAAAGTATATTCCAGGAACAACTGAGGCCCATCAGGCTCTGAACACGATGATTTTATTTCATTTTATTTAAACACATAAATATTGATACAAGAGAGCGTCAATATATATGCGCCACAGAAAGCAATGAGAATTCGAAGAGAAAAAAAGGTAAGGAGCGTAAAAAAAAGAGAACAATGACGAAGAGATTGGTGTAAGGTAGTGTGGTAGTATTGAGGGGACGGAAAGGTACAATCGGAAGAAATCTTTCGGTTAAGGAAGATACAACCACGTTTTATGAAGGAAGTAAAAGGTTACAACAGGATCGCCACTGGCTTCCATTCTGAGCCATATCTGATAACGTCTCTAGCCACTGTGTTCCATCATCTCTCAGACCCCAGCCAGGGAGTCGTGAAGGACCAACAGAAGCCAGCCCTTTGCAGATTTCTTTCATACCACGACACCATGTCATATACTGACCACCTCTCCGCTTCTTCCAACCAGTCCCAGAGTCGGCAAATAATGCACGACGTGGAATTCTCTGGGACGACATTCGTAGAACATGTCCAAGCCACCGAAGTCGGTGTTTCAAGATGATGACACCAATTGCATTATCATCTCTGTGCCAGAACACACGATGCCGAACCTGTGCATTACTAACATGGTGTTGCCACTGGATGTCAGCAATCCTTCGGAGACAACGATGATCGAACACAGAGTCGTCTAACGTCCTCAACTCGGAGAGGCCAGGTTTCACAAGCATAGAGCATGCTCACTATCCAGAGTGAGTACAGGATTAGAACCCTGCAAGTCTTGTAGAATTACTTTTCACTTAGAAGGTGCAAAGCACATACCATACTTACGGACACTGATTGCCAACTAATTAAGTGCGGATTGCATGCCTTGGGCATTATCGCACAGAAGACAATATCATCTGCATACTCAAGGTCGAGAAGTCTTTCTCCAGGCAACAGATCCACACCACCATTACTTACATCCATCAGAACTGTTTCCAGAATGTCGTCGATGGCGAAGTTGAAGAGGAATGGTGAGATTGGACAACTCTGTCTAATTCCACTGCTCGAATGGAACAATAGAGAAAGTGGTTGTATGCCCTCACTCTGCCTGAGGTGTTTGTATATAGGGCTTTTAAGATGTTAATAAACTTCTCAGGCATACCCTCCTCCAATAGATAATCCCAGAGAACAGTCCTATCCAACGAATCGAAGGCAGTTCTGATGTCAAGAAACATTACGATTGTTGGCCTTTGATAAGTATGGCGGTGTTCTAACATTTGGCGAAGAGTGCTAACCAGAAACAGGTTGTGGTTTGTGCGAAGTTGCAGTAGACGGTCCCCGTTATCTGACATGCGACCAACAAGTCCCCATCGGCCACCTAAACGACTCTTTTCTGTGCCTAGACGCCCGGCCTGAGCATTCAAGTCTCTGGCTAGTACTACAATATCTGTCGAACGCACTTTCTGGAGAAGAACAGTTAACTGGTGGTAAAACTCATCCTTGATTGCATCCGGGCTGCAATCTGTCGGGGCATAGGCGGAGATGACGAAAAGACATCGTTTCTCACGCCGATTTTTTCCCACTTTGATGGAACTTTCTAATCTAATAGCACATAACCGACTGTTAATGGGGATCCAATCGATTAGTGCTGCCTCAGCTCTAGCGCTTAGTGCGACACCTACGCCAGCACTAAGCGCTTACACCCGTCGCCTTTTCTTTCCCTTTTTCTTTCGTTGCCCGTCACTGCTCACGGTCGTTGCGTAGACTTTTGGTTAACCTAGCAAATCAGATCTAGGTTAAGCAAAAGTCTACGCAACGACCGCGAACAGTGACGGGCAACGAAAGCAAAAGGGAAAGAGAAGGTGGCGGATGTAGGTAACATTAGACAGCTTTTCAGGATAATAAAAGAAATTGGAACTAAGAAGTAAAGTGTACGTGAGACGATCTCGGAAAAAGACGACACTATCATCTGCTCTCAGCCCATATGTATAGAACGAAGGGCGGGAACATTTTAAGGAGTTTGGCTGGCCTTTAGCTACCCTACAACTACCCACTATTCCCAAACAGCCTGAATGGAAGATTGAAGTAGGTCCTCCGACTCTAGCTGAAGTTCAAACGGGTTTAGAACACAGGCATGCTTATCCGCGTCTGACAATGATGGTCCTTCTTGACATAAAGCAGCATTTGACTCTGTTGACCGAGGTTCTGGGGCAATGTCTGTCATTGAAAGGTGTACCCCAGAAGTACGTAAACCTTGTGAAGACTTTACCCGAACACTACTAATCGAGTGGGAGCTTATGGCGAACTGACTTCTGATTTTGCAATCTCAAGTGGTATCCATCAAGACTGTCCACTATCTCCATTTTTGTCCAACTTCATCATAGACCTACTGATGGAAATAATGTTCTCGTCGACTGAATTCTCGGGCATTGATCTCCCTTTAAGAGGTCCACCTATCGACTTAGAATACGCAAATGACATAGTCCTGTTTGGTGAAGACGCTGATAAAGTGCAGTCTTTTGGCAGCACTAAACAACAATGCCAGGATGTTTGGGATGCGTTTCTCTCTCGCTAAATGCAAATTGTTGCTTCACGACTGGTCTGCGTCAACACCTGAACTAAGGATAGGGAGTGAAGTGGTCGAACACGTCGACAACGTCACTTATCTTGGAAGTCTGATCAGCCCCAGTGCGTTAGTGTCTGGAGAAATCTCAGCACGGATTCAGAAAGCTCTTTTGGCTTTCGCCAACTTACGCCACCTATGGGGGAGGCGAAATATCCATCTATCAGTTAAGGGACGAGTATACTACGCAGCAGTTCGTTCTGTTTTACTTTGTGGCTGCGAAACGTGACTATTAAGAGTAGAAGATACTCGTAAGTTACTAGTATTTGACCACAGATGCCTTAGAAATATTGCCAGCATTTGTTGGGATCACCGGGTAAGTAATAGTGAGGTTAGATGCAGGATATTAGTGAATGATTGTAAATCAGGTAATGAGGATGTGAATCTTCATTGACTGGGATGGTTGGGCCACGTAGTACACATGCCCAACCGCCGACTACCACGACGCGAAATGCTGACTAGGGTTGGAGACAGATGGAAGGTTAGGGGCGGCCAAACCAAAACATGGCATCAGTCCATAGAGTCACTAACTTCTAGGTTGAGTCATGTTGGTAGATACAGACTACTTGGTTTGTGTCTGCGTGACTATCGTAACCAATGGTTGAAGACTCTGGGTAACATGGCTCAGTATCGATCACAATGACGTGGGTGTATACACTTTTTGTCTTCCGTCAAACTAAGAGATTAAAATTGCTTTATATCTTTCTTTCTACGAACTAATTCTTCCTTCCTGTACTATATCCTTATAAACAATCTTTCTCTCATACACTACTACCATTGAAGTGACTACTTCTATGAATTAGGTGTTCATTTTGTTGTGCTAATGAGATGTGGCAACTTGAACCGATGTATATATGTGCCTGGTCCTACGTTGTAGCTGACTGACTGTAAGGACTAACAATGGTCAACCGACTTATTGTTCTGATTACTGAAGATTAAACTATCTCACTTGTACCCTCGAGGACCATAATTCGCTGAATAGATTAAGAAACAAACGAAGTTGCAATAATGCTAGCTACCGACCAATGTAACTTAGAACCTACTTGGTTGTTAGCCTAATCTGTGCATACAATGATATGAAGAATGAAGCGCTTTAAATGAATCTTGAGCAATAAATTCCGCTGTTGGAAGTCGCTATCAAACACTACAGTCATTTTGAAGTTGTGAATCTTTAAGGGACTTTACTCTTACGTATGTCTTAATAGTCTCACCAGCTAAATCGACCAATAAACTGGCCGAAAACTTTGACTGAAAGGCAGTGAATTGTTGCTATACCGAGTGCAATCAAAATCTAAGAATTACCTGACAATACTACGTCGAATTTAGCGATTCGCAAACGTATGTCAATGCTCGAAACATTGTCCACTATTAAATCCAACCAAAGATAGGCGAGGCAAAGAATAAATGTCGACGAAGAAAGAAGCAAACTATATCCACAAGATGCCTGATCTTCATTAAACAAGCACTTCCCATAAATATAGCAGCCGTTATGTACAATTGCAATATTGACAACTGCTAATATCTAAATGTATTTATTTTCTTATATATGGAATGAAATTACCACAATAATTAAGCGTAGGATAACCTGTGGCTTTCGAACATAATCTATAGGTTCCAAGCGAGCAGTAGTGCACACCCAATCAATGGGAAACATGACTGCTCTCAGGGCCAACCAGTTCCCGCCACTCAACAACAGATCTGGAAACTGATTGTTCGAAACAGTTAAACGCACTACACGATTGTGTTTTCATTGTACTTTTATGTTGCATTGACCTGCGTTTTGAGCTTAAAGTTAGCCATAGATCCTCACTTACATCAAATTCAACGTTGAGTTCAATTGTGATTGGGTTGTGTAGGCTACTTCAGTATTGTAGGGAACTTAAGCCAGCCGTTGTAATTTATGCCACAGAGCCTGACCTTCGAGATATTTCCCAGGTGGTTATAAAAATGGTGGACAGTTGGGCGTACTGGTGTAAACACTACCTCTCACACAAATGTGAGTATCAGTGTAGGGCCAGTGAAATGTCACTGAGCCCCAGCCAAATCATCTGGCAGTTGGGTCACTGAATATCGAACAGATCATTGATCCCTGTCAAAGTCAAGGACAACCAGCGCGCATCAGTGGATCGTATGTCATGAACTGGTGCATGAGGTGATGATCTCGCTATCTTCTCTGTACTCATTCTTACTGATATATTTCCTTAATAACGTCCTTTGTGTTATACTGTCTTCAAAGCAGCCATAGTACCTTGATGCATCGAAGGGATAATCCACGTTAGATGTTGACCGTAAAGTGTGACTTCTAAGTTAGCTGTTTCATCATAACGTTCCCGTCTGACTCGAGTAGGCCTCCAATCATTCGACATAGATTATCTACGTTGTTGATCTACATCTGGTTGTTCGTACTGTTTCTTATGTTTAATGTTTGAGGTCACATATTTTCAGTTCATGCTAAATTATTCGATGGATTTGTTCGTTGTAAATCATAAGAACGTTCGTCGAGAATGTCGACTTTTATCCCATCTTGACGTTACGTGCTTTGCTGTATTTGATTTCGTCGTTGTGTTAGTTAATAAATTTTATAGAGAAGGATGATGCTAAATATTATAAATTTCACTGTGTTTTAGATGTATTTGCTTTACTCAAATTCTGAATTGTTGTGTTCAGAACTTTTACCTCGGATATTCTGCTTTCAGTCTATTTTTTGTATGGTGTTTGGGACGTTTTGTTCTGGAAACCCGAAAAACTGAAAGCTGATTTCTCGAAATAAATGATAAATTTTGGCACTTGGGCCGAAATTTAGGGTTAATTGTTACCACTGGATCGATCAACAGTGCATCAATAACGGACAAGACCAAAATTTGGACGTAACACTGTGAACTACCATCGCACGTTCGCCGAATTGATCCGAACTGTTTTTGATTAAAGCTTTATTTTAGTATCAGGTCTCACTTCATACCCTTCTACGTAAATTTATTCCAACACTATGGTGTGTGATAATGTCGATCTCGGGAGCCGATGAGCAGCTATTTATTCACCACTCTCAACTGAACAGTTCATGTATAATCTCTTGCGCGAAATGCACATTATAAAATCCCTAGGTTCAAGAGATAAGAACACTTTCTATTCCCACAATCACAAAGATTTACATAGTCCTTAATAATGATTAGGTGGGATTTTTATGTGTCTTACAAATACATCATCAACACAGTGAGGCTAAGCTGGATGAAAGATTCTTAGGTGCACAGCATCGAGATCAACAGGCTGGATTCCATAAGTGTTGGTCGTGCACAGTCCCAATTGTGACACTACTGGTCATTGTTGAACAATCAACTGGATGTAACTCCTCACTATACATTCTTGACTATGAGAAAGCATTTGACAGCGCCGATAGTAAACCGTTATGCGACCCTCTTCAACATTATGGTTTGCTTGACAAGATCGTCACCATCATACGAGATCATTGATCCCTGTCAAAGTCAAGGACAACCAGCGCGCATCAGTGGATCGTATGTCATGAACTGGTGCATGAGGTGATGATCTCGCTATCTTCTCTGTACTCATTCTTACTGATATATTTCCTTAATAACGTCCTTTGTGTTATACTGTCTTCAAAGCAGCCATAGTACCTTGATGCATCGAAGGGATAATCCACGTTAGATGTTGACCGTAAAGTGTGACTTCTAAGTTAGCTGTTTCATCATAACGTTCCCGTCTGACTCGAGTAGGCCTCCAATCATTCGACATAGATTATCTACGTTGTTGATCTACATCTGGTTGTTCGTACTGTTTCTTATGTTTAATGTTTTAGGTCACATATTTTCAGTTCATGCTAAATTATTCGATGGATTTGTTCGTTGTAAATCATAAGAACGTTCGTCGAGAATGTCGACTTTTATCCCATCTTGACGTTACGTGCTTTGCTGTATTTGATTTCGTCGTTGTGTTAGTTAATAAATTTTATAGAGAAGGATGATGCTAAATATTATAAATTTCACTGTGTTTTAGATGTATTTGCTTTACTCAAATTCTGAATTGTTGTGTTCAGAACTTTTACCTCGGATATTCTGCTTTCAGTCTATTTTTTGTATGGTGTTTGGGACGTTTTGTTCTGGAAACCCGAAAAACTGAAAGCTGATTTCTCGAAATAAATGATAAATTTTGGCACTTGGGCCGAAATTTAGGGTTAATTGTTACCACTGGATCGATCAACAGTGCATCAATAACGGACAAGACCAAAATTTGGACGTAACACTGTGAACTACCATCGCACGTTCGCCGAATTGATCCGAACTGTTTTTGATTAAAGCTTTATTTTAGTATCAGGTCTCACTTCATACCCTTCTACGTAAATTTATTCCAACACTATGGTGTGTGATAATGTCGATCTCGGGAGCCGATGAGCAGCTATTTATTCACCACTCTCAACTGAACAGTTCATGTATAATCTCTTGCGCGAAATGCACATTATAAAATCCCTAGGTTCAAGAGATAAGAACACTTTCTATTCCCACAATCACAAAGATTTACATAGTCCTTAATAATGATTAGGTGGGATTTTTATGTGTCTTACAAATACATCATCAACACAGTGAGGCTAAGCTGGATGAAAGATTCTTAGGTGCACAGCATCGAGATCAACAGGCTGGATTCCATAAGTGTTGGTCGTGCACAGTCCCAATTGTGACACTACTGGTCATTGTTGAACAATCAACTGGATGTAACTCCTCACTATACATTCTTGACTATGAGAAAGCATTTGACAGCGCCGATAGTAAACCGTTATGCGACCCTCTTCAACATTATGGTTTGCTTGACAAGATCGTCACCATCATACGAGATCATTGATCCCTGTCAAAGTCAAGGACAACCAGCGCGCATCAGTGGATCGTATGTCATGAACTGGTGCATGAGGTGATGATCTCGCTATCTTCTCTGTACTCATTCTTACTGATATATTTCCTTAATAACGTCCTTTGTGTTATACTGTCTTCAAAGCAGCCATAGTACCTTGATGCATCGAAGGGATAATCCACGTTAGATGTTGACCGTAAAGTGTGACTTCTAAGTTAGCTGTTTCATCATAACGTTCCCGTCTGACTCGAGTAGGCCTCCAATCATTCGACATAGATTATCTACGTTGTTGATCTACATCTGGTTGTTCGTACTGTTTCTTATGTTTAATGTTTGAGGTCACATATTTTCAGTTCATGCTAAATTATTCGATGGATTTGTTCGTTGTAAATCATAAGAACGTTCGTCGAGAATGTCGACTTTTATCCCATCTTGACGTTACGTGCTTTGCTGTATTTGATTTCGTCGTTGTGTTAGTTAATAAATTTTATAGAGAAGGATGATGCTAAATATTATAAATTTCACTGTGTTTTAGATGTATTTGCTTTACTCAAATTCTGAATTGTTGTGTTCAGAACTTTTACCTCGGATATTCTGCTTTCAGTCTATTTTTTGTATGGTGTTTGGGACGTTTTGTTCTGGAAACCCGAAAAACTGAAAGCTGATTTCTCGAAATAAATGATAAATTTTGGCACTTGGGCCGAAATTTAGGGTTAATTGTTACCACTGGATCGATCAACAGTGCATCAATAACGGACAAGACCAAAATTTGGACGTAACACTGTGAACTACCATCGCACGTTCGCCGAATTGATCCGAACTGTTTTTGATTAAAGCTTTATTTTAGTATCAGGTCTCACTTCATACCCTTCTACGTAAATTTATTCCAACACTATGGTGTGTGATAATGTCGATCTCGGGAGCCGATGAGCAGCTATTTATTCACCACTCTCAACTGAACAGTTCATGTATAATCTCTTGCGCGAAATGCACATTATAAAATCCCTAGGTTCAAGAGATAAGAACACTTTCTATTCCCACAATCACAAAGATTTACATAGTCCTTAATAATGATTAGGTGGGATTTTTATGTGTCTTACAAATACATCATCAACACAGTGAGGCTAAGCTGGATGAAAGATTCTTAGGTGCACAGCATCGAGATCAACAGGCTGGATTCCATAAGTGTTGGTCGTGCACAGTCCCAATTGTGACACTACTGGTCATTGTTGAACAATCAACTGGATGTAACTCCTCACTATACATTCTTGACTATGAGAAAGCATTTGACAGCGCCGATAGTAAACCGTTATGCGACCCTCTTCAACATTATGGTTTGCTTGACAAGATCGTCACCATCATACGAGATCATTGATCCCTGTCAAAGTCAAGGACAACCAGCGCGCATCAGTGGATCGTATGTCATGAACTGGTGCATGAGGTGATGATCTCGCTATCTTCTCTGTACTCATTCTTACTGATATATTTCCTTAATAACGTCCTTTGTGTTATACTGTCTTCAAAGCAGCCATAGTACCTTGATGCATCGAAGGGATAATCCACGTTAGATGTTGACCGTAAAGTGTGACTTCTAAGTTAGCTGTTTCATCATAACGTTCCCGTCTGACTCGAGTAGGCCTCCAATCATTCGACATAGATTATCTACGTTGTTGATCTACATCTGGTTGTTCGTACTGTTTCTTATGTTTAATGTTTGAGGTCACATATTTTCAGTTCATGCTAAATTATTCGATGGATTTGTTCGTTGTAAATCATAAGAACGTTCGTCGAGAATGTCGA